AATAATGTACAGTATGTGGAAAATAATGTGTTTTTTGGAGCTTATGAACCTGAACCGCATAAACACATTTCATTACACCAAATAATGTTCTTTTTAGCAAGATCATATGACCCCTTTAAGTGAATGAGTTTTCTATAATAATCGACAGCATGTCACAGATTGAACCTGAAAGATTTCTTTAACCAAACTAACACTCATTCAAATTAATGTGCACACCTATGGAGCTACAGGACATTTTACTATGATGACTGAAATATAATTGCACTGTCAACAGTTATTATTCATAATTTAACTATTATCTTCTCTAGGTGAATCACACAGTTCCCAGCATCCAACCCAGAAAACTTGTTTTACAGTTAAATCAACACATGGTGTGAGTTCAGTTAGTGGCATTTCAACTCCACCTAAATATATGAATTATCATCTGAAGATAATATAAATAAAATGCAAGAATTTATGTGGAACAACTTCCTTTCAAATCTTTTATTTTTATTTCTATATTTTGTTTACATTTTATTTAAATTTTTTGTCATTTTATTATTATTATTATTTAAATTTGTCTATCTTTTTTATTTTAATTTCAGTTGTAGTTATTTTAGTACATCAAGTTAAACTAAATTAAAGTGAAAAATGTTGCATTGGCAACCATCTGAAAATAAGTTTCAGCTGAATTTTATTTCAGTTAACATTTATTTCAAGTAACAAAAATCTAAAGTTAAAAAAAAAACAAAAATAAGAATCGTGCCAAATATATGCACACGCATGAATATTTCAGACATTTTCAGTAAATAATGACTTGCATTTCAGTCTTCATCACACAAATCTATCATTTCAGTTTTTCAGAAGACAGAAGACAAAAAAAAATATTTTATGATGTCTATATGTGACCCTGGACCACAAAACCAGTGTTAAGTCGCTTGGGTATATTAGTAGCGATAGCTAACAATAATTGGCTATGCAACAATTGTATGGGTCAAAATTATCGATTTTTCTTTTATGCCAAAAATCATTAGGATATTAAGTAAAGATCATGTTCCATGAATATATTTAGAAAATGTCTTACCGTAAATATATCAAAATGTAATTTTTGATTAGTAATATGCATTGCTAAGAACTTCATTTGGACAACTTTAAAGGTGATTTTCTCAATATTTAGATTTTTTGCACCCTCAGATTCCAGATTTTCAAATAGTTGCATCTCTGCCAAATATTGTCCTATCCTAACAAACCATACATCAATGGGAAGCTTGTTTATTCAGCTTTCAGATTATGTATAAATCACAATTTCGAAAAACTGACCCTTATGACTGTTTTTATGGTCCAGGGCACATATGGTGCATTTTGTCCTTTTGAGAGCTTGACAGATCACTGCAAACTTCCATTTAATGGAAAAGAGAATATTTCATTTGTGCTTTACCGAAGGAAGTCAGTCATATGTACATAGGTCTGTGAATCCACATTTACCAAAGTTCACTATACACCATTTATTAAACATCAGATGACGGTCAGTTTGACAAGAGATCGTACAACACGTTGGAAATTCTCAGGATCTTCCAGCTGTGGTTTTACAGTAGGACTGAATTCAACATTTACATGAACAGATTCAGATTTACGTAACTCTCTGGTCCAAAAGGCTTGTCCGTTCTCCAATGATATTTACATCTGTACATGAGAACGCAAACAGCATATACAGGACAAAATAACTATATGAAACAGGATCACATTCAGTTCAGAAGTTCACTGTCTCAAAGTTTCAGTTGCATAGGTCTTCCATAAAAACACAAAGGGTTAAAGACATGAAGTGGTTCAGGAGGTCTAAACCAGGCTAAGCATCCTGACTAGTGAAGAGAGGAAAACCGGTCTAAAAACGGATAGAAGTAAGTCATGCGCAAATCATCTTTATGCATCGATGTGTGTGTGGTTGCAGTGACCTAGTAAAAAACAGCCTTTTATCGAACCGTTTTAAACAATTTAGCTTCCTCGCTGTCAAAATCCACGCAAGAGAGCGTTGCCTTATTAATACACAAGCGCCAATATGAATTTGTCAGCGATTGTACATATTTCATGAGACCTATTTTTCAAACAATGGTGCTCGTAAGGGCTGAAATCAATATTTCAGAAATGAGATGTTTCATAACTTTGGCTTGTCATGGCGACGTGAATTATTAAGTGTAATGGGAGAATGCTGAAAGAGACGACTAAGACACGTGCTGCTAATATGTGTGTGCAGAACAAGATGGGCCCTATTTTGGTGGATTCCCCACCTTATATGCCATATTTAATGAGAAATCAAGTCAAATCGCCACTTACATATTACAGGTTGTGTAAACTGAAACATGTCTGTCATTTACTGGATTTTAAAAACACTGATGGATCATTCAGATCTTTTTTTGTTTTATCATTTCTTTAATTTTTTAATCACCAACCCCTCAATAACTGATTTTAATAGAAGTAAAGAAATGGAGATTTAAAATGCTGTTATTGGGGAGAGAAACAAGATCCCAGGTGAAATTCAGTGTTGTTATAATTAACTAAAATTTCCGTTAATTGAAATAAAATAAAATAAAATATAAAAAGAAAAACTTAAGCTAAAAAAACTGAAATAAATATGTTTAAGTTTAGGTACTAAAATTACAAAAACTACATCTGAAATATAAATAAATGTAATTATTTATATGTATATAAATGCACTTACATACATACATATGTGTGTGTGTGTGTGTGTGTTTGTGTATGTATATATGTGTTTGTATGTATGATTTATAAATATAAATATTACAATTTCTTAAATATATACATATAAGTGTGTGTATTTATATACATATAAATATATACAGTACACACATATATTATGTAAACACAAACTTTTATTTTGTATTTTATTTGTGATATATTTAATCACAAATAAAATGGGAAAAATCTTAAAACAAAATTAATAAAAATTAAGCTAAAATCAAATAAAAGCTGAAAACATAAAAAAATAATAAAAGATACAATTAATTAATTAATTAATTATTTATTTAAATTAAATTAACATTAAATTATATAAATAATACTAAAATTCCAGCGGTGAATCTGATATTTGATAAATAATCAGATACTGTTGATTAAATCAATCAAGCAGATTGTAAGAAAGCAATGTCTGTCATCTTTTTCACATCGTGAGACCATAACAACTGGTCATCTGATCACCATGTTATTCCTGGCTATAAAAGTCTGAGACCACATTGAAAATCTGAGAAGTAAGTAAAAGATTTAGATAAAGATGACGTTTGTATTTTACAACGTAAGCACTGTGTGTGTGGCTGGACGTCAAATGAACGCGAGTGACTTACATAAGACTCTCTGCTCCTCTAAAACACTGACATACTGGTTTTTGGCAGGTCCATATAAAATTATCTTTGTCCAGATTGTGCTCATTGGCTCCTTTCAGCACTTATTGCTTTTGAAAGCTCACGATGTGACATCACATCCTCCCTCATTACTCCCATTTCCTCTTTAGTGCATTGCTTCCAATTCTTCAGTCTATTCCTCCTCGGCCCGCTGTGTCTCGTTCAGATCAGTTTTTTCATCCTCTTTTCTCATTTCTGTCTCACTCTCATCTTCTGTCTTGTTCATTTCCTCCTCTTCCAGATGTTCTCCTTTTAAACACTCACCCTGGTGTTTTTCGTTATCCTCTTTTTCTTTCGCTCGCTCCCTGAAAATATCAAGCAACCTGTCGAACTTGGGTCCCCACTCCTCAAATCTGTGTTTCTGTCCCTCTGTATCTTTTTCGGCCTCGCTTTCGAGCGAGCTGAGAGACGTGGCCTGTGAGCCACCCCCCTCCAATCCGTACGTCTGCAGCGAGTCGTATGGTGGCTGCATGGGGTCAGAGGTCACCAGGGCTAGACGGTGCTGCAGGAAATCGCCCATACGATTTGTCAACGAATCCGCGCCTGCCTTTTCAGAGTTCGCTTGGCCAACCTTCCCATTCCCCAAGCCCCACCCTCTTTCATATAGCCCCGCCCCTCCAGGGAGGGGCATCACTATGTGTGGCACATAGTTCTGCCCACCCACCCCGTACAAGCCCATTAGTCCAGCAGCTTCTGGGTAAACAAGTGTCGTCCCGGTCAAAGGTATCCCTCCGCCGCGCCTCAGCAAAGTGCCTTCCATCGTTCTGAACGGCATCTCCGTCGTGCCCAGGCTGGTTGAGCTCTGGCTGGTGCTGATGAGCGGAACGTCCCCGTTCTTGTCCAAAGCCGAGGCGGGGGTGGAGTCGTCTGTGGTGATGGTGGAAATGGAGGCTCGTGTGGTCAAGCAGTGAGGAACAGAACCTGGTCCGAATGCACAGACTGAGAGAGAAAACACAGAAAACAGTGAAGAGCATGATCAGGCCATTTAATAGCTCAATAGTTTGGGGTTGTTTTTGAAAAAATCTCTCATGCTTACGAAGGCTGCATTTATTTGATCAAAACTACTGTAAAAACAGTAATATTGTGAAATATTATTACAATTTCAAATAACTGTTCTTTTATTTGTATATATTGTAAAATGTAATTTATTCCTGTGATGCAAAGCAGAATTTTTTAGCATCATTTTACTCCAGTCTTCAGTGTCACATGATCCTTCAGAAATCATTAAAGGGATAGTTCACCCAAAAATGAAAATTTGATGTTTATCTGCTTATAAACGTAAGTGCATCCTGAGCGTGTTCGCGTCTTCTTCTTCAGCCGGCGCATGACGCGTCTTCTTCTTCTTCTTGCTTTACGGCGGATCGCAGACTTATTAGGAGTGTCAATGGTCCATTTGAGAGATAGGTGGCAGTAATGCACTTATAAGTCTGTGATCCGCCGTAAAGCAAGAAGAAGAAGAAGACGCGTCATGCGCCGACTGAAGAAGACGCGAACGCGCTCAGGATGCACTCAGGACAGTTCGGACATTGCAGTAAATCAGAGGTAAAAAATGATATAAATACTGTTCAGTTTCTTGCACAGACTGATCGTTTCGTGTCTTTACACATCCATGTATCGTCACGAGCCGCAGGGTTTAATTTGGTTTTGTTTGTGTATGTTTTTTTGACTCTCAAAGCCATGATTCCCATTCACCTCCATTATATGACTGACAGACTGCAACGGTTTGAGTTAAAAATCTTCGTTTGTGTTCTACTGAAGAAACAAAGTCACCTACATCTTGGATGCCCTGGGGGTAAGCAGATAAACATCAAATTTTCATTTTTGGGTGAACTATCCCTTTAATGTGCTGATTTGATGCTTAAGAAACATTTCTTATTATTATCAATATTGAAATAATATTTTAAAAATATCAAAATAAATCATTTTTAAATTAGATTTTTTTTAACGTTTAGTGACATTTTCACTGTCCATTTTTTTCAGGATTCTCTGATAAATAGAAAATTAAAAAAAAACAGCATTTATTTGATATTTGAAATAGAAATCTTTTGTAACATTATAAATGTCTTTACTGTCACTTTTGATCAATTTATTGCATCCTCTATAGTCAATGCATTCATCTGGGATCTCAGATTTAAAGACAATATAAATATTTTAACATAACATGAAGATATAAAAATCAGATGATAAAGAGAGCAAAGATTTTCTTATTCATTTCCTCCACAGGAATTAAAAAAAAAATTAAATTAAGGCTTTTTTAATAAAGCCCTAACCCAAATCAACCAGCTCTGAGATGAATCACAACATTAAAAACTACTTATCAAGAAGAAATGTGCATGATGTAAATAAATAAATAAATGTATTGATGTTTAGTAATGTATTACAACTACAAAACCTAAATATTTTATGGCTATTGCAAATATTTAGATAATACAAATATAATATACATAGTTTGAGATTATAGGAAACTGACACACTATTGGCCACTAATGAGCTCATTTGCTACAAACTTCATTTACATACGTTAGCAACAGCAGCCTCTGTGATTGGTGGATCTTTGGTGGAAATTAAGTTGAATTCACACTGATTTGTGGCTTTGAAAGAAGCACATCTCAGCGCTAACCAACCTCAGATGTAGTGTTGTCAAAAGTGCCGACTGTGATACTCAGATGTCATAGTAGGTCTGTATAGGTAAGTTTATAAATTATAATTAAAAATCTATTTGTTTATGGAGACAATAAATGGGATTTTCACTCCCAGAACCCATCTGTTGCGCTCTATACAATTGTAATGTGATAAATAGTTTGTGGCAGGAAGGATACCTGATCCCGGCTGAGTGTGTGGCTCTCAGAGATGACCTCACTTCCTGTCTCGCTCTCTTTCGGAATGCTGTCGGTGGATCCGTCTGCTCTTTTATGTTCTGATCCATCCCTGCTCTTGCCAATAAATACAGAACCGGATTCTAAAGGGCCGCCTGCCTGGCCTTGGCTGCCGGGAAGAATGTATGCCAGTTTGGCGAGATCCAGCCTGGAGTTGAATGGGCCAAGTCTGTTTCTCGAAGCTGGAAGGGTCTGGATGCTGTAGCAGTACCGTCCGTAGAGGGGTGCAGAGACGGGACGACGTGGGTCAAAACCCAAACCCTGACTCCAACTGAAGGTTCTGATGCTGTCCAAGTTATCCTGAGAATACCTGTTATAATAAAATAGAAATTAGGAATCTAAAATGGATGAATTAGTTTAATGGTTAAGTATAGAAGCCTATTTCAGCCACAAGTTAATTATGATTATAACATACGTCAAAAATATGACACAAAATGTCAAAATTATAAGAAAATTGTAACTTTTTAACTCATAATTATGACTTATAGTTTCATGTGGGGAAGTCGTGGCCTAATGGTTAGAGAGTCGGACTCGTAACCCAAAGGTTGCGGGTTCGAGTCTCGTACCGGCAGGGATTGTAGGTGGGGGGAGTGAATGTACAGCACTCGAAATTGATATTGATGAAGCAAAGTTGTTTGGGGGAGTAGGTCTATCATGTTACATAAATTAGCCTACTTGTGAATTACTTTTCATACAGATTTAAGTTACAACCCCAAATGCATTAGTCTTCATTGTAGTGCCCTCTATTGGTGGTTTGGAGTAGCTCCATCACACAAATTTGAAGCCAGTCTAGGCAGTGATAAAAGAATACATACGTTTCATAATCTTTTATTTGATTTTTAAGTCTTTTTATTGAATTTGTTATAAAACACACAAGACAATAGCGACCAGCATATACCCTTGCTTCTTGTTCAAATGTTAAGCATGCTACAAAAATGTATTGTTTGATTATATGATTAACGCACAGTATACACAGTATCTGTGTGTGTGTGTGTGTGTGTGTGTGTGTGTGTGTGTGTTCACTGTTGTGTGTGTGCACTTTGGATGGGATAAATGCAGAGCACTAATTCCTAGTATGGGTCACCATACTTGGCCACATGTCACTTCACTTTTTTTTTTTTCACTTTTTTTATCATTTTGATATTTTCCATAGTATGTCAAAATTTCGACTTAGTATCTCATAATTGCTCAAAATTGTGACTTTTTGTACATTGTATTGTACAAAATTGTACATTTTGTCTATGTTCACTTCTATCTCATAATTATGACTTTACGCTGATTTGGTGCTTAAGAAACATTTATTATTATCAATGTCAAAAACAATTGTGCTGCTTAATATTTTTTTTTTGTGGAAACTGTGGTATCTCATAATTATGACTTTGTATCGCTAATATCTTGATAATTGTGCATCGTTTATCTCATAATTAGTATCTCATAATTTCAACCTTTTCCTCTATTATTACTTTGGACATCATATTTATCTAAAAATGTTGACTTAGTATCTCATAATTTCATCTTTTTCCTCAATTATTACTTAAGCATGTCATGATTTTAACTTTTACCTCATAATTATGACTTAATATTTCAATTTCGACTTTTTATCTCATAATTATGTTAGTGTCTCATATGTTTAACGTCATAACTATAACTTTTTGTCAAAATGACAACTTTTTAATCTCAAATTATGTCTTAGCATCTTACAATTTAGACTTTATCTTATAATTATGACTTAGTATCTCATAATTTTGATTTTTTTTAACGTCAAATATGTCAATTATGATTTACAATACATTTTTGTGGCAAGAAATGAGCTTCCAAAGTTACGCCTTTAAGATAGTAATCAATTACATAAACATTTAAAAAAAAAAAACTTCTGTTTAATTATGAAATGCATCACCAAATTTGGGAAAACTGTGCAGATCCGAGCATTTCATTGGGCTTTTAAAAGAAAACCACATTCCTTGCAACTTTTGCACCAAAACCAGATAAACCAGATATTTCTAAGTTACCAAAAAAGTTGTTTGATTAAAAGATTTGTCGTACTCCCAGTGGAAACTCCCAATGCAACGATTCAAAAACAGTCAGTTGTGTCTTTAAAAATAGTCGCGTGTGAAGTATTTCACCAACCTGCCCAGGAGTATTACAATGACATCAAACAGGAATATGATGGATAGAGGACTAGAACACAGAGTGGGTTTGAACGGCATAAATATTAACTAGATGAACTTTGCACTGAAACAGCTGTCAGATTTGCATTGTGAAGGCTCATTAAACCACACACACTCCTGAGTACAGAGCCCTCATTAATCAGATATACATTTAACATCATTTAGAGTGACTGAACGTAATCAGAGTAACCAGAGATTCCAGAGGAAGATACACCAGTTTGTGTTTTTGGTGAATGTCAGCTTATATTCAAGCTGAATGATTCACATGGGCTATTAATATAATATGGCATTTTCTAAGCCAAATGTCAAGAAATGACATATGATTTAAAAGATCAGATAGTGCCAGCAATAAACCTGGGAGATTCAAATGATGAAATGAGATGTCTTTTTATGTGAACATCAAAGTCATTGTAAACACACAAACACACTCACATATTCTTGCTGTCCTGAAGCCGCTGTGCCCTGCACATGCTCTGGGGGGCGCTCTTCAGGGTCGCGATATCGAAAGCGGCCGTGTCTGCCTCGCCGCCTCCCTCGTCGTCATACGTGATAATGTTCTCCCTGATCTCATCATCCTCCACAGGAGACTGAGTGTCCCGTTTCTGCCTTCGCAACGATAGCGAGAGCGCCGCCACCACTTTCGAACAAAACAGAGCGAGAGAAAATGACAGGAAGTTAATGCCACTTTTCATGAATAGGGTACAAAATGGACAGTTTCTTGTTTTCCAATTAATAATAAGTGAAAAGAGGTGCCTAACGTTGAGACATTGTTAAAAGTCAACCTTTGGACATTACACTGACATTTAATGTGTTTAAAACTATCTATTTCTCTTGCTAGACTGATTTCATATTAGATAGCAGTTCACAGGTTTTCCCTATGAAAAATGTGTGCACTTGGAACATCTCTTTCAATTTTTGTACATAAAAAGACTGAAAGGAAATATTGTTGTTTAGCAAAACACTGTACCTCAATGGAAATGATCCAAAAACTAGTTTAACTCTTTTTCATTTTTAAATTATTATTTCTTTAATCAAATTCAAAACTAAAATTAAACTAATCATCATCAAGAGTTTTTTTCAGCATCGTTCCTAAAAGCATAATCCTTTAACATTTAACCATAAAAGAAAAACTAGTATAACAAACTGTCAGTTTTAAAATAGCTGTAATAACAATGAATGAATGAATGAATGAATTTAAATATTTTTGGAAAAAAAGTTTTTAAATGGTGGTTAACATTGCGATATGGCAACACCTGAACACTTTACTGCAATGGAAAATGGTCCAAAAACTAGTTTCTTAAAAATGATTGAAAATTACTCAAATTCCTTTAACTAAATTAATATTTTTTCATTTAAACTGAAAACTAAATTGTAGTGAATCATTATTAAGGCTTTTCAATGTGTTTCCTAAAAGCTTTTTTCCCTTCACTGTTAATTTGTAATTTTTTCTAAATACTGAAATACAAATGATAATTGTGTTATTTTTGCAGAAATGCAATTATATCATGGTAAACACTTCCAAAAAACTGTAATATTATAGCTAAGGCCAATATCTATAAACTTCCCAGTGAGAAAACACATTAGTGCACTTCCAATTTCAGGCAATTTTTCCATTATGATACAGAGTAGCCATATTTTCATAATTTTCTGTAAAGCCAAGTTAGATAAAGTTAACCAGTTAACAACAACTAATTTCAGATGCAGAAAGGAAGTTTGTGGAGCATTTTAGCAGGCGCCCATGAAAGGCTAACTTCAAAATGTTTAAAAAGAAAAATGTGGCTTTAAAACAGTATATATTTGTTTACTTAAAAAAACTACCATTTTATTTGCAGGTGAAACAGTGAGGGAAATTATGTTGCAATATGGCTACACTGTAAGACCCCAAAGTGTATTTGTAGAAAATGCCTATTCCACCTCTCACTGGCTTTTTTAGTAAAGTTTGTGTGTTCAGTGTCATTTGGGGAACCTTGAGGGTGGCTTGTTCCGCAATCTCGAAATGCCATACGATGCCCTCAGCACACATCAGCTGCTGTTTATGATGAGTGACTTAGTGCAGAAATGAAACCCAAACACGTTCATTAGCAAATCCAACTGACAACCGGAGGAGAAACAACGAGGCAGGTCTGCGGAAAGTTTGAACGACCCAAAAAAAACACACACATATATGGAAGAAAAGCTGCAATTTGAAGACAGGCCAGGAGGCAATGGTGGATGAAGACAGGTAGTAATGGACAGATGTAGCAACAACACATCATTAAACCAGCTGGGTATAGAGGCGGAGCGAAGGGCGAGCAGCAATCCCAAAACCTGACGAAACGGACTGAAAAGCAGAACTGACCCAGCAGAGTGGACGCACAGGCCAGGATGGCCAGCATGGCGGCCGAGCTGACGCCCAGCAGCGGGGAGTTTGACGGTGAAGGCAAACACGACGCCTGCCTCTCCCAGTCCGGCACAGACGCTTTATCCTTCTCGTCCATTTGTTGTTTTCGTTCTTCTGCCCACATGCCTCCGTTTTGGCATGGACACACCGTAACGGTAATCGTTCCTGTGCTGCTGAAGTCTGACGCACCGTCACGGAGCATTATGGGTATTTTTAGGGTAGGCAAAGAGGAAGAGCGAGGAAGAGCCTTCAGGGACGACAAGAGCACCAGACTCGCCGTGTGGTCTGGAAACAAAAGAAATTAATAACATAAAAAGGCATCAGTCATGTGACACATTACAGGAAAAAAAGATTTTTGCAACATTTATTAAGCAAATAAATAACTGTAATTATATTCTATGGTGAGAGAGAGAGACCCTTATGTGCTAAGGAAAAGATAGACATATTAAATAAGTATAAATGTGATATAAAATAAATTTTTATTAAATTCATATTCTATTATTCTATATTCTATTCTGTTCTATTCTATTCCAAGTGTGAGGAACAGATCATTTCATATAACAAATATATATTATAATATAATACATATGAAAAAATATGTATGTTCTTAGTAATATAATAATTAATAATAAAAATCAATAATCATAATAAATATAACATTTTTATCAAATCTATACACACACAATAATAATACATGCATTTATATAGCTTATATTTATAACATTATAATATGTATATGTTCTTCATAATATAATAATCATAAATGTAATATTTTATAAATATAAATTATAATAAATATAAATTTTTTATAACATATCTATACACACAATAATAATAATAATACACACATATATACAAACATTTATATAGCTTACATTTATAAATTATACTTGAAAAATAAATAATATATTATAAAAAAAAACTATAATTAGTTTTGTCTATAATATATTATGGAGATATCTTCTTTACACAAGACTTTCTAATTTCTCTTTTTGTGTTCCACTGCAAAAATAACAGCGTATGGGTTTAGTCAGACATGAATGATGAATACATTTTAATTTTGGGGTGAGCCATTCCTTAAAGCAAATTAGAAATCAGCAGATTGAAGCGGTGGACAGGACAAATGAGCGAAACGAAGGAACGGATTGCCGGAGCACAGAGAAGGGAGTTTGCAGTGTTCACCAGAGTAGAATGTGACAAAAAAGATAAATGGATGAGTGTAATGAAGGAGGATATATGTCTGGACAGAGACCGGGAGGGAGATGAGGAAAACTGATGGGGAAGAAAAGACGGATGGATGACAGAAGAAGCGAGCGCACCTCCCCGCTCTCTGATGGAGAAGTTGAGCACGCTGCTGGACTCTGCGGGAATGCTGAAGTGGATAGGAGAGTTGTGGCTGCTTTGGTCTTTATCCGTCGCTCGAATCACCTGCACCACCTGAAACACAAATGAAGAAAGACTGATACGGTGATTTGTGCAAATAAGACAGTTTTCTGCTGTTGAACGGATAAAGGATTAGCAGTCTAACACGACACGTCATGTTTAGGCTGACTCACTGTGCACTGCGTCAATATCAGTCGCTTATAGAAATCTGCTTTTCTGAAATGCCTTTGGTGAACGAATCTATTTAAAGCGTAGCATGCAGGGTCACTTTTCCCTCAGAAATGCAGAGAGTATTATAATTGATCGGTCAGCTGATGACTATTGTAAAATAAACCCTGACAGAGTGATCAGAAATAGGTGAAGGGATTTATTGAGCATAAACGTCCAGCTGACTGCACATAATTCTACTTATTATATGGCTACTTGCCACATAAATATTCAATGGACATGCAATCATGATGGGAAAGTAAATGATTTGAATATGCCACAGCTATTGTAGGAAATCAGTTGCCTGGAGCAGCGATTAATTATGCAATATATTACTTTATTGCAGAATGCTGCTATTGACCAATCAGAAATAAGCATCTCAGATTTGTTTATTCCAGAAGAATTGTTTATTATTGAACACTGGTGGCTTTTATTAAATTGCTTTGCCAATATGACAAGAGACGACATGCATTAGTAATTTTACTGTGGGCTGTTGTTAAGTACACAAACCAATGTGCAACAAATTATAATTATTATTAATAATATTCACAAGTACTTAAGAGGTATACTACTGTTTATTTGAATAATTTTATTCTTCTTGTTTTTTATTGTCTATTATTTTCCCATCTTTTTATTTTATATTTAATATTTTATTTTATATATTTTATTGAATTGTTATATTTAATTTTTTTTTTTTTAACTTTAATATTTTAATACAGAATGCTGCCATTGACCAATCAGGATCAAGCATCTCAGTCATTTATATTACTTGGAAGAAGAATAGTTTTTTCCAATATATGCAACATGTTTTCTGTGTGTGTGTGTGTGTGTGTGTGTGTGTGTGTGTGTTTATCTTCTATTTATATTCTAAAGCCAATATGACAAAAGATGGCATGCATTATTAATTGTTGCTAGGCACACAGCCCAAATAAAATGTCCAATTAATTATTATTATTATCATTATAATTATTATTATTCACAAATAGTTTTTTTGTTTAATATAAAAGTAATATGACAAGAGACAACATCCATTCATAATTTTATACAACCCAATGATAAAACACCAATGTGCAAATAAATACATAAATAAATAAATACAAATAATAATAACAATAATACAAACAATAAATAAATTAATTAAACTAATGCAAACACTTGTGAGGTACTGCTGTTTATTTTAACAATGTTTTATTTTTGTAATTTATTTTATATTTGT